CCCCTCCTCCCTCTCTCCTGCACTCGGGCTGTCACTCCAGCCCGGAGCTGGGAGCTGCGTAGGGGGCTGGGTATGTGTGTGGGGGGAATCCGCCCCCGGGGGGCAGAGTCGGGGGGAAGGAGACAGAAGCGGAGAAGGACGGAGCCAGCCAGGTATGGAGACCCTGCGTTGTGGGGGGTTAGGGGTGCTGGGGCGGGGAGGGCGGGTGATGCCCTGAGGGAGGCAGGGGCTGGGTTAGGGGGTTCCTGAGGGGGTCAGTTCTGGGGACTCTCCCCCCTGGCTGAGCCGGTGGCTGGGGGGCCACGCTGGGACCCATGTGGGTGAAGAGTTACAGGGGGGAGGGGGTGTTGGGATCTCTGGGATTTTTTTGGGGGGGGCAGCTTGAGGGAGGGAACCCAGGCGTCCGGGGGGCAGGCGTTTGGGCATGGTTGTTGGTCTTTAGGGGCTTGTGGGGGTGGGGGCAGGTGTGTGTATGTTTATCGTGGCTGGGCGGGATTGTGTGGTAGGGGGAAGGTCTGGCAGTGTGGGTGTGCGGTGTTGTATTGTGTCTGTAGGTGGGGTGTAGGGGGCGGGTTGGGTATGTTTGTGTTGCCATGTGTTATGTGTGTCTCCAGGGGACTAAGTGTGTTGTGTGTCTCTAGCAAGTGTGTGTGTGGTGGGGGGGTGTCTCTGGGAGGTGTTGCAGGTGTTGAGGGGTGGTATGTGGTATGTCTAGCAGTAGCAGGTGTGCATAGGGGTTGTGGTGTGGGTGCTGTGTGTCTGGGAGGTGATGTTGTGTGGTGTGTGTTGCGGGTGTTGTGTGTCTCTAGGACGTGGGGTGCTGGGGGGGTGTTGTGTTGTGTGTCTCTAGGAGGGGTGGTGTGGTGGGGGTGTTGTGTGTCTCTGGGCAGTATTAGGGTCTGGCTGTGCTGTGGGTTGTGTTAGGGTCTCCACCGTTGTGCGGTGGGGTGGGTTGTGTCTCCAGTGTGGGGGGGGGAGCTGCTGGTTGTGTGGGTGTGACACTGTGTGTGAGGGGGCGACTGGGGAGGTTGGGGGTGCTCTGCTGTCTGGGACCCACATCCCCCGCCCCCACCTGGGAACCCCCAACACACACCCCGCCCCCAAAACTGTCCTGTTGAGGACAGATCCCCGTTTCCCAGCTGGGTT